ATACTCGAAGCCAAGTGAAATTCACTTGGAACCAATGAGTTTAAGAGACTCCTACACCTCACTGTTCATCTAAATAGTGTTCCTTCAGGAACATTCACAACCCAAGCTCAGTATCCAATAAGTGTATTTGCCATAATTCTGTTCTGCCCAAAATTTACAGGTGGGTTGGAAATAATTCTAAAAACTGAATCCTGTAATTTGACTTTTGTATCACCTTCCTGGTTAAATCAATTATCCTTAAAATAAGGTAGTACTTCAATCCATGATTTTTTTTAGTTACTTTCGTTATTTGAATACTAATATGCAGATAATCATATCAGCAGTCACAAAACGAGTTAATCTAATCAAAATGCTGATGAATTTAAGTGCTTCCTGACTCCAGTGACTTTGTTGAAACGAGCCACTGAGGATTTTATAAATCTAGTGAGCAGCTAAGTTAGTCTTCAGAATTCTAAGCAACGCATAAATGCGGCACTGGTTTAACAAGCACCACAGGTTGGGGCAGTGACTGTTCTGTTCTCCAATTTAGAACTTTTATAAACATGTATAATTTTGATTGAGAGCATTTACTTGAATTCATTACTTTTCTTGCAGGGGGGAGTTTTTCTAAAATATAGGTACATTCTCAAAGGAACAGAGTTTAATAATGACCTAAATTAGGACTAGTAAACTAAAATGAGTTGAATATTGCTCACCTTTAACACATCGCAATGGTGATGTATTTTTTTAAATTGTTATAGGCTACTTTAAGTCCTCTTGTCACTTAACTCTATGCAAAAAAACAGAATGCACATGTTGCATGCAGTGTTGTGGGATATACTTTTGGGACAATGTACTTCCTGGAATTATTGTTCTAGGTTCCTTCTTTTCTGAAAATAGTTGCCTTAATTCCAGATCCACTGATGTTCTGTCCACTTGCTTGTCAGACATCAAGGCCTGGATGAGGCTCAATTTCTTGCACCTTAAAATGGATAAGGCTGAAATCATCCCCTCGGCTCTCTCCAATGTCTTCTCACTGATAGAGCTGACCTCAACCTCCACTCTATTAAACTTGTGCGTAATCTTGCCGTTCAGTTTGATCCTCAGCTCTCCTTCCTCCCTTACATTCAGTCCCTGACCAAGGTCACTTTTCTTCAACTGTGCCTCAGTGCCAGTCCTACCTCTTATCAAATGCCACCAAAATATTCATTCATGTTATTTCCCACCTTTGTTATCTCCCGCATAGACTTTTCAAGTGCACTCTCCACTAGTCTTCCGAGTTTTACCATTCGATAAAATCCACCGAATCCAAAACTCTGCTGTCCGCATTTTTACCCACACTAAATTCCCATCATCCTCGCCAGGCTCTGGCTTCTTCCTGTCTCTCAACAGATCAACTTCAAGGTCCTGACCAGTACCTATATATTCCTTCCATTCCTAGCACCTCTCTATCTCTGATCTCCTACCCCACTCCTCTGTTTGCCCCTCTGCTTGGCTAAATCAAGGTTGGTGAGCATTCCCTGCCCTGTATGTGCCACGATCGGTGGTTAAGTCTTCAGCTATTACGCCCTTAATGTCAAAAACTTGTCTCCCCTACCCCTTTGTCTTGCCTCTCTATCTGCATCCCACCTAAAAACCTACCACCACGGCCACATTTATGATCACCTCCCCTTTTCCCCCTCTCTCTTCTACCTTGCTCAACATCCGACCTCATTTTTACATGCTTCGAGACGTTGACCTATGCTAAGAGTGCTATATAAATGCCGGGTGTTGTATTCATAATAATTTCTGTTCACAAACCTTTACAGCTGTTCACCCCATCATTTATAAGGCAGGATTAAAATACCATTTCAGCCAACTGTCAGACAGGAGAGGATAGATAATCCAATGATTGAATTGCGATGCTGCAAATTCTGAATCATTATATGGTTTACTCTCAAATCACAATTGGGTTAGACCTTAATTTGTACCATTAGGTTAAAATCAATATCTTTCAGAATGTGTTTGATAATGTGTGCATACCATACTTGCATGTGGAAGCATTCCTGTACTAATACTGATGAGTTTTTCCCCCACATGGTTGCTCACTGTAATATTTGTAACAAATGTTGTTTGTGTTTCATTCTAATACTGCATTATTCATAACAGGCATCTTGCAATTACACATGTTGAAGAAATACTGGCTCAGATTGATGTATTCTACTTGTATGTATTAATTGCAGAAAGAGCATCATATTTGACTGAATATCCCAGAAATGTTACTCCCAAGAGGCTAAGCATACTTAATGATCTGTTCTTCATGGGATTGGACAACTGATAATAGATAAGGATTTGTAAAATGTAGGAATAGCAAACGGGAAGTATTTTGCTTCAAGTACTAGAGAAACTATAGCATTAAATGTTGAGGTAACTCAATAGATGTTATTACAGAAATACAAGGGTTCCTATGTAACATCTGGAATGCCATAATAATTTTGTTCACAGCTGCTACAGCAATATGTAGTAATAAGACTTCTCAATATATCTTTGGATGATAGGTGTAATGAAATTATGTAACTGTTCACAGAAATACTAGCTACCTTGGGAAGACTAAGGACAGGAGGGATTTTGCACATGATGGTTCTTCACATATCCCAGAGGATGACAGGGTTAAGCTATCAGGGTTGGCTGCAGACCCCCATCACAATAAGCTTTTCAAATGATTAGAGGAAGCTTTGAATGGCAAAACCTGAGTACTGTGGAGAAATGATGCTAGTTTCACACCATTGGGTGTTGAGCAGATGGAGAGCCATTCTGCTGTACCATTTAGGGCAGCTGAATTAATACTATGGAGACTGACTGTCAGTGTATATTTTGGTGTTTAACAGTGTGCAGTGCTGACATGGCTGTAATCCATTCAGTGCTACATGCCAAAGCATTCAGGCCTGCACCAGTACCAAAACCTTTGGGAATGAATAAAAACGTTAAATCAATTTCACTGTTGTAATAACATAACATTGAAATTATCTTGAAAGACATCAGTCCATTTTGTGAATTCTTGAATGTTTGTTTCCAGTCTGGTTTGCTGGATGTTGATTCAGAAAATAAAGAAGATCCCACAAAGTAGATAATCTAATGAAATAGTCTCCTATCTTTTGCTCTCTCTGGTATATTGTTATTGAAGGATCTTCTCTTAGATACATACTGCTGTTGAAGGGCGACATTAGTCTTTTTTTCTCTTTTTCTCTCTCTCTCTCTCTCTCTGTTTCATTGATGTTTCCACTAACCTAATGTTGACTCTGGCTTGTATGCAATGTCCCTCGAAGGTCCCGTAGAGAATCTGACAGGTAAAGGATCTTCATGCAGTTTGCAGCACAGCGCAGATTCTCGTTGTGTGGCAATTCTTCAGTGACTGTTAATTCCCCTTGCCCGAGGATTCAATGTAATCTTGTAGCTTGTCCCTGCCATCCTCTGGGATGCATGGAGCTCTATGAAGACTATTAATCTTTGGAAAGGTGAAGGATTTTTTTTTAAAATGCTCTGGCCTCCTATAGAAGGCATAGAACCATGGCTCATTATACAATTCAAGTGCAGCAGAGAAACATGTGCAATGGAGTTTGTTCATATGAATTAATAACTTTACAAATTGCTATTAGCAAGCTGATTAAGACAGAAATTATGAATGGCTTTCAAACTAATTGTTTTGTAAGGGCTTATGGTTGTTGAAAGGAAGAAAAGCAGTTTTACATGGGCTAAAAACTCTTCAGATGTTGTTAATCTCACTCATGCTCATGAAGTGTATGTCTTCCAGGAGGCTGCAGACTTGGTTCACGTAGAAATTCGGGTACAATGGTCTGAGCTGTCGATGCTATACAATCTGTCGCTTTTATACTGTGTGGCAGAATCCACAGCATAGACTGTGTCCAAATCACAAATCATAATTTTCTAGCTGTGCATCTCTATACAAGCCAGGAATGTGCAAAATGCCATTAGTTACTGCTTCAATATAAAAGTGCCAGGTGTCAGCCTAGCTCAGTTGGTACCATTCTTGCTTCTTGAGTCAGAAGGTTTTGGGTGCAAACCCTACATCGGTACTTGGAACTTAAATAGTCTAAGGATGATCCTGAAATGCAGGGCTGGGACGGTGTTGTCAGAGGTGGCTGTTTCCCATCGTCTTGGGACGTCCTCCGGATGTGAAATGCACTGTATAAATGCATTTTGTTGTTGTGGGACATTGCTGTGTGCAGTTGGGCTGACACATTTCCCTACAAATACAGTTAGTCCACTTCACAATAAAATCCTGTGAAGCACTTTGGATCTCCTCCTGACATGAAAAGCATATCAAATGTAAAGGTTATTATTACAGTCTAGGTTAGACAGACATTTCATTCAGAAAGAACCCCAGGTGTGCGCTGTATTTTTGGAGGTAGAATCCTTCGTTTGAGACATTAAACTGAGATCCCATTGCAAAAGCAATGGGAAATCTCGACTCCCAAATAGTGACTGGAAATTCAGACTGTGCAAATGGCTAATAAGAATTCAGCCTGTGTGGGCTTTTACCCAATCATGTGACTTGTGAAGTATTATCAATTGGGTCACCAATTTGGAATGCCAATATATGGATTTTCAAGCAAACGAATCAAATGCTCAGTTGGGCGTTATGTAGAATGGTAATCAATGTTAATTTTAGAAAAGCAGAAAACTAGCAACTTAAGAACATAAGAAATGTTTGACAAAAAAAGGCCAAGGTCCATCTCGTTCGCTTTCCACCATTCTGGCAGTTGCATGCACATATGTCCCAAACTACCTATGTGCTATATCCCATAATGTTATTTCCTAAAAGAAAACTGTCTATAAGATGTATGAAGAATTGCTGTAGACCACGATCCTCATTGTTTTGATTACACCTTTAATTTTTTATTTGTTTTTATAATTTTGAGGAAGTAATTCTTTATTCAGCATTGAAGTTAAATTTGAACTGTGGTTCTGGATTCAAATAAAATTAAACTGTTGGCTTACCCTGGTGTCTTTATCTTTTCTAGCAGTTGCTGTTGAAGCTGTTATCCAGCCGGTTGCTGAACTGAATCCACTTCTGCACTGTCTGAACCAGTATCATGAGAAAGTTTGCATATTGTAAGGTGGTTGTAGCCACCTCATTGGTCTGGGTGCTGCTGGATATGTTTCTACTGCTTTACTTCAGTGAATGTAACAAGTGTGAAGAAAAGAAAGAACGTGGCCTTCCTGCTCGAGAAGGTAAGAAAGTTGGTAGCAGTACCTTATATACATTAATATGATAAAACATGCACTTTGGGTATTGACATTTATATATTAAAGTCTGGCTACATTTTCTATCATCACATATTTTATTTGACAGAACCGCCTATACTAACTCCCTATAGGAACAAATCTGGGACATTGCACATATTTGAAGGGACAGTTTTAGAATGTGACTTAATTTTATTATCTCATGAAATTTCATATCTCAATTTGCTGAAGGTGTTTTTGATCTTTGCTGTTTCGACACTTGCATTTTCTCAATGTTGGAACCCGTGTAAAATATTGGCAGTTGCCAGCGCTGGAATCAGGATTTGGCAGCGCATACAAATGATGCTTGTTGTAAATGTTTTAGAACGGTAAATAAAATTTTAATTCTGTGTCTGAAATAATGAAGAGACTTTATGATGTGGCACTTATGATTTATTTTTTTATTTCCTCATTACTGAAAAATGTTAACTTCCCAAGAGTCCCTTAATGCTTAAATGAAAAGAAAGAAAATCAGACTTGATCCTACTTAAGATAGTGTGGGAACCAAACCAACTGCAAATGAAAGAGAGAGCTTTATCTTAGATGGTTGCTGATTTCTATATCACTGAAGAACCATTTTGACATTTACAATCCATTTTTCTAATGCGCGCAATTTTTAAATGTTGCATATAATGTCATAAGGAAGGTATTATTGAAGATTCATTCCTTCAAGTTAATTGCTTTTAGAATAACATAGGCAATGAGGGAAGCTTGTGTCAATTCCATCGTTTCCTTGTGGCCAGATATCCTTTTTAGAGTGACATTGAGGCCAGCAAATGGCAACATATTTGTGCAGGCCCTTCAAGATCCACCATTTATAAAGCAAATTAAATCGATGGATTTGGAAAGATTTAATTTCAGTCGGTTAAAAATAATAAGATGTTTGGAAATGCTGGATGCTGAAGATGGGAGAGGAACAGAGGACTGATTGCCTATTGCCCTCGGGGATTAATACAAGACTGTATGAGGCAAGAAAATATTGTTCAGCCTATCAAACCAAACAATTTTTTTCCTGACTGAATATGTACAGTTTTGTATCTTATTTCCTCAACAATCTCAAGGAAAACAAAATTTCCAAGAGAAGCAGGCTTAACTGTTTTTCTTGATCTCCTAAAGATGGTACCTTTAGAAGATAAATTAGATTTTCCAGTTTGTGCTTGGGCCTTAATGGTTTTGCCATAAGTGTCAATATCCATGATTATATCAGGACAAGGAGCCTTGGATAATGTCATCATCTATATCAGTATTTATCACTTTATTCCTCAATTGTATTCTCGATAACTAGATATTTCCCAATAACTTTTCAAGGAGTAATTCAACATCATCTCCTACTGATAGGCGTCCAATTAATGTATTTTCTGCTTTGTCGAAAATTATCACCTGTCCTAATTTCTCAGTTTAACTAGGGCCTTGCTAATCTTGTACTTCTAAACCTAGTTTTCAGTAGATATTAATAATAATAATAATAATTGCATTTGATATAGCGCTTTTCACATCTTCTAGATTTCTCAATATACTCAATATAGCACAGAATATACTGTAAAGTGAATTGACTGTATGTTTGTGGGCGAAATGCGGCAGCCAATTGTGCACAGCAGTGTCCCACAAACAGTCGTGGATGAAATGACCAATTTATTATTGTTTTGTTTTGGAGGGATTATTATTTGGCGTGTGGAGTAAGGAAACTTGTCCCAGGTTTCGCCCTGACCTGCCTGGAATTGAAACCAGGTGTCTCACTTGCAAGGCGAGTGCTCTAACCACTGAGATACAGGACTCCTAATATTCACCAAGTTACCCTTTTACGTTCAAATGATCTATGTCCTTCAGCATTTTGAGGGCTTAAACATGGTCTCTTCTCTTTTTTTCAATTAGAATAAATTCATCTATTAAGATCAAAACCTTCAGTTTTGTTTGTGGTGTCATTCCTTACCTTTTGCTGAAGTAAGGAATTCAAACTTCAGGGATTGAGAAATAAGCAAGTCCTTGTATTTTCATTCAGATAATCTATTCAGAGACTTTGCTGCATAGGTTTGTGATTGTTTACCTGGCCTGTGCATTTTTCTCAAGATGGTGTTTGGATTGATGTTTCCTCCCTATCCTTTTCCAACAAGCTAAAGTAAAAGAATGTTATTTGAATGGCAATATCAGCTTTATTAGTGGATGCGAAAGGAGTATAGTCGTAGTAGTGTTTTCGTTCTTTGTGGTTACCCTGTGATCTGCAACAAGGAGAGTTGTTGGAGATTTCATGGCACTTTTTGAAATGGGTTTTTTCTTCTCTGGTGTCCTGCCCAATAATATTCTAAACGAATCATTCACCTCACAACAATGGAATCTTATTGAGGCAATTGGCTGCGTTGGTTAGCCAGAAAAACAATTGCTACACTTGTCAATAATTACCCAAAGCACTGTAAGACTTTTCACTGTGATAGTATACTTTCTTAGTAAGAGTGAGAGAATTCAAGTGAGAAACTGCAGCAAGACTAGATATGACTTTTCCACCACGAACAGACCCCCCTTCACCCTCCCTCAACAATAAGAATGAATTGTACTGGTTTTCCCTTCTTTCTCTCCAGGAGAGCATTTATACACATGTAGGAGTAAACACAACAGAAAATAGTGTACTATGAAATTTGTACACTAAGGTGTTTAGCTGCTGTACACCTTTTACACCTGTGTTTAAGTCCCAGTGAGCTCAATCATTTCATTTGTAAACTTCTGTTGTCTGGAGCAGCCTGATTTAATTTGGTTACAATGCAAAATAATATAAAATTTATGTAAAGATATTCATTCCTCAATCATTCTCAAACTGAAGGTTTCTGATTATCAAGGGAGCAAAAAAGATGTATTAAAAGGGCAAATCATAAAAGTATATTTTGAACAATTGCTGTCCCTTCAAAAGAGCTGATCTGGCAAGCAAATAATTAATTGTAATTCCCAACTGTACTGGTACCTCTACAACCTTTTTTAATATGAATTCTGCGCAGAACTGTTTACGGGTCATGGATGGAATGAGCTCAAAACATGTAACAAGTTTGCAACAAGACAATGATTGCAATTCAAAATAGACTACACTAATTGTTTTAGTTATTGCTCAGAGGAGTTATGGAATGAGAAATGTAATTGGAACACTGATGAGTGAAAATAAGTGCTTTACATGTTTACCCTGAAAGTATTGCTTGTAACTCATTATTTGGGGGAAAACGTGCTTCTGTTCCCCAGTATTGCAGTGTCTTATCTTTAATGAAAATTCATAATTGAAGTTAAGATTGGTGAAATGGGCAATAAATCGTCTGTCCCACAGATAAAGAGACTATGAGGCATTTTTACATTTTTAATTGGCAAACTATGAAGGTATGACAAGAATTAAATAAAATAGTGGCATGTTGCTCCAGTGTGCTAAATCGTAGAGTACAGAATTATCTCTATGGGAACAGTTGGTAAAGCCACTATTCAGTCTGTACTGATTAAGTGTTCTCAAGGTGTTGGTAGGAGTATTACAATTTCCCTGTATAGATGGTTATGAATCTTGAATAAAAGAAACCTTGATTTTAGAATCTAGGCATTTCCCCAGAGGGTAGGGAAAGTGTCAAAATTGAAGAAGGAATGGTAATGATTTGAGCAAACAAAGGAAGGATAACTTATACGATCAATAGTATCCTAAGTATTCAGAAATTGTAAAGCAGTTTTTATGTTAGTTTATGGAATTAGATTCTGTATTCCATAAATCCAAATCAAAATTATGTAACTGGCTAGAATTCCCCCCCAAAAAAATTAAAAAAGGAGAATTCTACCTCATTGTTTATTCTGCCTTTAGTTGACCATCTAAATTGGAGAGAGGAGAACATTGAGACACTGACCCTTTTAGAATTTAGTCTTTCACAGGAAGCTTCTTCAGGCTCGTTCTTCACTCTGCTGTATACAGTGCCTTGTATTGCAAACATTTATTCTTTATCACTTGTTAGAACCTCTTTATAGCTTTGTCATTCTTTCTACATACACATTTATGTTTGCAAGTTATTTTGCAAGTTGTTTATTTTTTGTTATTCCTTCAACTTTTCCAAACTGACTATTAGCTTTAGAATATTTTATTGGATTCAGGTTTAAGGATCATGATCTGCATTCAATTGGCTGCTGAACTACCTCTCCAGACAGTTTGTTATTGGTTTAAATTTATTTCAAGTGCAAAACTGAGGTGAAAGGCTAAGACATGCAGTGTAGTACAGCAATAAGACTAAAATAAAAAATATCCTATGTCAAACTGTTCAGATTCAGTGTTAAAAGTCTGTAGATTGCTGGAGGAAGAAAAGGTGAGTTGATATTCCAGTAAAGAAATTAGTTTAATTTGGAGACTGTAACCCCTCTGCTGACTTGGTTGGTAAAGCCACTAATCTGTTTGTACTGATTTAGGATTTTCCCAGACAGCGGTGCGAGCATTATAATTTGCCTCCGTTCCTCTGGTCTATGAAAGGGAAAACTGGAGTCCTGTAGCTCAGTGGTTAGGGCACTCACTTTGCAAGTGAGAGACGTGAGTTCAATTCCAGGCAGGTCAGGGCGAAACCTTGGGCAAGTTTCTTTACTCCACACACCTAATAATAATCCCTCCAAAAAAAGAACAATAATAAATTGGGTCATTTCAATCCACGACTGTTTGTGGGACACTGCTGTGCGCAATTGGCTGCCGCGTTCGCCCACAAATATACAGTCAATTCACTTTACAGTCTATTCTATGAAGCGCTTTGAGATGTTTAGAAGATGTGTAAAAAGCTATATCAAATGCAAGGATTATTGTTATAAAACATCTGTTTTTTGCTCACGATCCTTAGTGGAAAGTGGGGACAGAATGTAACAAGGATAGGGATAAGGCAGAATGTATAGCACTGTTTATTTAGAGCTTTGTTGTATTATGAAGGAAATCTGCAGGGGAATAATGATACTGTTCTTTGGGTATAGATAATAGTTGGCCAATCTTAAAACCACATGCTAAATTTATACCAAAAGTTGAATAGAGCTTCATTTATGTTAATAAATTGCATTGTCAAATTCTAACCAGGATTGCTTTGTTTCTCATTAAGAAAATTGATTACAGAACTTGAGCATTCTTTGTAGAAAAGATTCCATAGATAATCACAGATAATCACAGCAGTAAGTCTCATTTTTTAAAACCTATTTTAAATCTAAATTTCATTTAGTAACAAAACCTTGTTTTATTTCAGAGATAGTACAGAAGCCACAAGAAGGGCCTGGAGAGATGGGAAAACCTGTAATAATCCCAAAAGATAATCAGGAAAAGATGAAGGAGATGTTTAAAATCAATCAATTCAACTTAATGGCGAGTGATATGATAGCACTCAACAGGACTCTTCCTGATGTCAGGTTAGATGGGTAAGTACAACCTTTAGGGACAGGGTTATAATGGTTATAACGCTTTTTAAATTCTGAGTGACAATGCTCTTTAAAACCGTCAAAATAAACTGCGCTTTTAACTTGAGACTACAAAGATAAAAGATGTTACTGTTCTTAGGCTGATGCACTGTTTCAATAGAAAGTTAAGGCAGGGATTTATTTTTATTTATAAAAGTCATAAATGTTAATCATTCTACAAGTAATCCTTAAAACTGATTTGTGAATGTGTTTGATTGTATTTGAAAAGAATTGCATGAAAAGATTCTAATCCACATTGGGATTGTGCTTTTGGATTAGTACTGGAAAGGGAGACTGATGACATTTATTTTACATTTTGTTAAAGCCTTGTGTATAAGCTAGTGAAAAGCCTGCCTCTCGTGAACAATCTGCCTCCACTGCTTTCCACCCCAAGACAGCTTTGGAACAAGGGAGTTCTGTGCAAATTTCCAAGAAGGTCCTACAACAGAAAATGACTAACTCTGTAAAACAGAAGAGATAATTTGCATTAACCAGGGTAGTTCAATTGGTGGCTCGTGGGCCGAATCCAGCCAGGGGGAATGACTATGACTTAATCAGGCTCAACAGCTCTCTTCCTCGCGAACTGTCTTCTCATGGCAGCGGCAGGAACCAGCAGGTTGGAGGACGTAGTTGCTTTCCCCTCAGCCCGGCAAGCGCTTTCTGACAGACTGCAGTAATGGGCGGAATTATTACCACTCTGTGCGACTCAATGCGCTGCAGTGGGTTACAAAGTCCCTCCCGAGCTGAGGGGAAGGCAAGCGCATCTCCATACAACCACCGGCTCCTCCCGCTGCCAGATAGTAATCCACCCTGTGTGTGCTGCTGGGATAGTGAGCCACACAGCTGATTGAGAGGTGGAAAGAAAGAGTGTGTGTGTGAGTGAGTGAGAGAGGACAGAGAAAGAGAGAGAATGGGAGAGGGAGTGATTGTGGCTGAGAGCTGGGGAGCGAATGATTGAGAGAGTGATAATAATAATAATCCTTGCATTTGATGGAGAGAGTGTGCGTATACGAGAGAGACCAATTATCAATTCACTTTACAATATATTCTGTGAAGCGTTTTCTCGAAGACGTGATAAGGTGCTGTATCAAATGCAAGGATTAACATTATATTTAATTGAGAGAGAGAGGATGCATGAGACAGGGGAGAGTGATTGAAAGAAGAGGGAGAGAGATTGATTGACAGAGAGGGGAGGAGACAGAGTGATTGAGACAGAGCATGAGGAACAGGGGGAGCGAGAGAAGGAAAGCGAGAGCAGCGGTTTGTGGTTAACTGTCAGGACAAATGATCGGAGCCTCCCTCAGCCACCAAGGGGGGAATGAAGGCAGATGCCGAACGACTTACCATTTCCTCAAAGCAAGCTCCCTCTTTCCTGAGTGAGAAACTACTCTATGGCTTTCATTGCCCTCCTCACCCTATCTCTGAGATCTCCCGATCTAGCTGTCCCTTTGCCCAGCAAACACTGTCTTTCTTCATATGCCCCCCCCCAACCCATCCGCCCCACCATCGCCATTTGGCTCCCACTCTCTGGAGCTCCATTCCTTCCAACTCGCTCCCTCCCTCCCTCCCCTTTTTCGAGACATGTCAAGACCTGACTCTGATCGCTTTCAGTCATCTTTTCCCATCCCGACCCCCTCGTCCCCCACCCTCATCTCAGGTGCCTAGCTGGCAGTGCTTTAAGCCATCCCTCCAACTTGAAAAAAGGCTGCTGTGTAAGTATTATGTTATGAAAGAAGGGGACCTTCTGTAAAGGCTTGAGATCAGGAAGGCCTTGCTCAACTTTAGGATGTCTTGAGAACCATCCCAAACTCAAAGAGTTAAAAACATTCTCTTTGTCACTTTACTACTCTCTTTGGCACCTCAACAGGGTTAGTGAGTTCCAGGTGCTGATATTTGATCATTTGGTATTATCAAAAAGGCAGTCATTTCAATCTATACCAGGAATAGGCTTTTGATGAATCCCTCACCAGCTTAGAGCAGCATTTGCACAGTAGAGGAACTTTTTTTTTTAATATAAATTTAGTGTCCAATTTTTATAATTTTTGCTAATTTAATTCTCTGCTCCATTTCTATCCGCCTCCAGCTAAGTTTGATGAGCTCTGATAGTGAGTGTCAGCAAGCCATTCAACTATAGATCAATCTGTCCTGACTTCTCACATGTGTACAGTTTCAGTAGAGGGTGCTGTAGAAAGACCAGTAACAGGAGCACTGGCTGGTCTTACCCTCCATCACCCTGGGAAGGCCAGTTTAGTCTCCCCTGACTGTCACCAGCAAACTGCAGCTCTATCCACTACACTATAGAAGCTGCCCCCATGGAGCTTTTTTTACATTGATCATTCAGAATGCATCTCACCAAGTTTTTTTTACGGTTAAATCTTATCTCACCGAATATTAATTTACCTAATGGCCACGATTTGGATCTGCAGGTCCTAGAAATGATGGATTATTTGACTTGCTTCATAGTTTCCTTTTGGGAATCAACAAAAACATGGAGTAAGACAAAACCTAACCAAGTCTGGAATCTCTGTTTCCTAGCAATATTCATACTAATTATTGCTTGGGGGAGAAATTTGGTACAAGGTTACGCCTGAAGACCTTCCTCTTCGACCATGACTAGGGGCATCTTCCCCCTCCTGGCTCGGCATCGGGCTCCACCATAGTTAAGTGCTCTGGGATGCTGCTCGGAGTGGAGGGCGCTATATATATTTATAGATCTATATATATATGCAAGTTATTATTGAAAGAATATAAAAAACTGTATGGGCTTTCTTAAACCGCTTCAGTAGTTCAAAAATTATTTGGCTTGGCTGTGTGTGTGCTGTCAAACCCACAACCTCGCCTTACTATAGTGCAGGTTGGAATTTTATCATTCCTAAACACTACTTTCTAACCGGGCTTCACTGTGTTACATTATAGGTTCCGTTTGCAGATTGTTTCCTATAAAGCCTCATTCAACAGTCTGGGTCCGTATGAGTTATTAATGTCAATAAACAATGAAACTACTTAGCTGCACAATAATACAGGTGGAGTCCTGTAGCTCAATGGTTAGAACACTCGCCTCGCAAGCAAGAGACCTGGGTTTGATTCCTGGCGGGGCAAAACCTGGGCAAGTTTTCTTACTCCATACGCCTGATAATAATCCCTCAAGAAAAAAATAACAATAATTTGTTCACTCAATCCATGACTGTTTGTGGAACACTGCTGTGCGCAATTGACTGCCGTTTTTCGCCCACAAATACACAGTCAACTCACTTTACAGTATATTCTGTGAAGCACTTTGAGACGTCTAGAAGACGTGAAAAGTGCTATCAAATGCAAGAATTATTATTTATTATTATTATAATAGCAAAAGATCTTCCCTAGAACAGCGCAAAAAGCCTTGGTGGCATTTCTTTGTAAGATTATGGTAGATTGAGTATTTGAAGATTTCGTGAAATAACAACGTTATTGAAAAAGTCAACAAAGAAAGATATGAGGTCCTGTAATTAGTGCAGACGTGTGACAGGTTTCACGAATTTAGAGGTTCAGTGCTTTACTTAGGGAGTACGTGGCTACTGTTTTTTTCCAATTTTCTAATACAATAGAAACTGAAAATTCATCTCTACTATTCCTTAAGGATATCACAAGTTTAAAAGCTCTGTAAACACTGTTAAGATACTACCATGTGTGAAGGGCAATATATAAATGCAATTTGTTGTTGTTGTAATTTACTCTTCAGTGTAGAGGAGATTCATCAGGATGTTGCAGAGGAGTAATATGGAAACACTGCTTTATACCCTTGTGGGTTTCAAAAAAATAAACCAATGGGAGCACTCTAATTAAAACAAAAACTACTGTTTTAGAACAAAATCTAATTGCAATACCCTAGCCATACTACCATTTTACTCCACACGCTTGATAATAATCGCTCAAGAAAAAAAAATTGGTCGCTTCAATCCATAACTGCTTGTGGGACACTGCTGTGCGCAATTGGCTGCTGCGTTTTGCCCACAAATATACAGTCAATTCACTTTACAGTATATTCTGTGAAGTGTTTTGAGACGTCTAGAAGTCGTAAAAATCACTATATCAAATGCAAAGATTATTATATTCTGGTGGGGGCAGGAATGCATTTAGAAAACATGAAAGATAGTTTTATTTTGCATTGATCAAATGCTTTCTTTTGAGAATTATGTAAACAATTGGAAGCTACAAAAAAGTCTGAGCAGGCTTGCTGCAATCGTGCAGTCAATGGGGTCCACATTGCAACTGCGTTCAAACCAAATTTGTGCTACAAAGAAGTCCACTATAACGATACTGCAATGTATCCCTTCAAATTAATTTCTTCACCAAATGGCTTCTTAGGGATTTTATGTTAAGAATTCAATAGATTTTTGTTTTCAATTTCACATAGTTATGAATCAAAACAAGTAGATTTAAAAAAAAGAATTTCAAGCAGTACTGTGTATGGTTTCCTGTAGCTGCAACCTAATGAGACCCACTTTAGAACACAGAGCCTGTTTCTCCTATTTGCACTGGACAGAAAATTTAACTTTTAAAAATATTTAAATTGCTGGCCAAGCGGTGTTTGGTGTATGAATATGGTGTGACATGCATGCATTCTCTGGATTATTAAGAGAGGAAAATAGATGTACTCTTAGAAAAATACTGAGGCAGATAGTGTCCTGATAAGATTTTTAGATTTGCTTTGCGTGGGAGAATTAATATTTTGTATTCTAATTTAATAAAAGGAATACTGATGGATCATTTAATAATGGTATTAATCATTTGCTCACAATACTGGAGATTTAATCTTCAATATTAGGATGTTCAATTTTAATGAAATTTAGTAAACTAAAGCTATTTTTTAACAGCATTTTTTTTGAGGAATTGTGTTTAGGATTATAAACTATAGAATTATTTTGCTATAGTAATCAACACTGCAACCAGAAAAACATGGAACAATAACAATTTACATTTAT